ACTAGGATATCCTACGATACTTCTTACAGGCAATCCTTTATTATCGATGATTCTAAAGGACGCACAATAAAAGTTCACCGTTAGATCGAAGGGCTGGAGCATTGATCGCTTTCTTGTTGCCTGCGCACTCTCAGAGCGATGGGTGTTGCCCTCGTTCGTGGCCGTAACGAGTTGACGTAATCCATTTGTAGACTTTATAGCTGGGACTGTCATCGCAGGAGCTATCTGTCGTTCTGTTTGACTATCGTCGGAAGTGAGATCGATCGTCTGCGCGTCATGGTCGTTGGATCTCGAGCTTTGTATATTCGTCCGGACGGGAACTTGTCGAGACTGTCGGGTAAGGAGATTTCCGCAAAAAGACAGACTGTCCATAAGTTGACTAAGGGATACTGCCCGATGGGAGTATCCCGTCGCCGTACAAGATCATCAGCCATTGCCTCTTAATAAGTTAATGACGAAGAGGTGGTAGATGAAGTAAACGAATTTTCTTCGTAATCTTAATGGAATACTTTTAGTTTCAAAGTGTGTAGAGCATAAATGCAGATAAGGAGTGGAGTTTATTTAGTCATCATTATATGAGTTGTGTACCATTATCTCAACCCATTCCTGGAATTTTCTCCCAATTATCTGCCACCGAGGAGTAATTGACTGTAGGTCCTCGCTTTCTTGGGAATAGCTATAGTTCTCCTCTGTTTGATGATGACCTAAGACGATTATTAACGTACCTCACTGAGTCATGCAACGCACCACGTCATGCAACAAATTGCCCGACCGGCAAGCCAGAGCGAAAATTAATCCTGCAACGACACAACCATTTAAAATACTATTAAACATTACAATATGTGAAACACTTCATACAGAGTCTATCTATATGATGGTTTCTTGAAATATGAGCAGGCGGTCTTGTGGTCCGCCCAGACCTGAGACTGAGAAACCGGCCTCCATACTTCCCTGCGCTTCCGTCGAACGGGAGGTATGTCTTTACCCCTAAAGCTCCGGGACTGTGGTCTCGAGCCACTGAAGCTTCAGAACCATCTTTACCCTTTCTTCCTCCGAGTTGTTGCGTGGTTGAATGCCCGTCGCGCAAACCCGCTTCCAACGCCCTCGTTTTCTCACCGCTACCATGTCTTTTGTGCCCTCTTACACCAGGCTTTGACGTAGCAGCTACCTCAAACTTGACTTCCCGAATAGCCTGGCGTTCAGCCTCGCGTGCAGACCTCTCTGCTTTTAATTTTGCTGCGGCCTCCCGTTTCTCAGCTCGCTTTGCCTCGCGCTCCGCAGCACGCTCTGTCTTCTCTCGAGAACGCTGCTCTCGCAAGGCCTGACGCATTGCAGCCCGCTGTTTTTCTTCTCGGCAGATTCTCGAGCCTTTTCTTCACGTGATATGGCTACCTGAGTCGACGATCTTCAATGGCTTGCTTGCGCTGCTCGTCGGCCTGTGCCTTGTCCGTCTGACGTCGCCGCGCCAGTTCCACCTTGGCTGGACTGAAAAGACCGGCTGGCCACCACTTTCTTCCGGATTGAAAAGGCCCAAGGCCTTTCTGCGTTTCCTTTATGTGCAAGTTTGAGCGCTTCCTGTAGATCTCGATTTTCGTGTTGTACGAGCTCATATTGTGTCGCCAGTTTCTCTGATGCTCGGGAGAGCGCTGTGACTCGGGAGTCCATCAGCCCTTCCTTGCGGAGACGGCGGGTAATGCGCCGAATAGCCCGAAGAGAGCCTGGAGTCTTCATCGCCCTTCTCAGATGCAGTTTGTGGGGTGTCACATCACTGCTGTGGCTAATCTTGGACAATACTTTGCCGGGGTCGAGTGGATGGATTCTGTGCCCGCCAACCAGCCTCGATATTTTTGGCCGTAAATGCCTGGTTCCACGCATCACGAAAGAGTGGCCAAAATTCCGTAAGGCGAATTAACCCCATCCAATGGACATCAGCTGGTCGGAACCTTGAGCATAATAGGTGGAGAGTGCGAAAACAGGCCAACATCGAGTGGTTGAAGCCGATGAGTTGAGTGCGATGGCAACACAGCAATGAGAATTCGATTCCGATCGGCATAGTCAATGAATTTCAGGTTAATGTGACTATTGGACCGTCTAAAATTAAGAGACGGTAGGCACGACCAGCCTTTTGCTTCGTATGGCAGTCAAATATGCGCTGAGCCAGTGTAAACCCAGTGCATCACAGCTCCAGCCGTTTTCCGTACTGGCGAAGAAGGCTACTTGCTGGAATGGTCAAAATCCTCGCCAAGTATCTTGAAAGTCTTTGACTCCCTTTGTAAATGAGGGCCGGTGGCAGGTACGAATAATCTGCACATATGGCAGCGATCAGCGTGATGAACTCCCGGTTCCCGTCTTGGCTTGCCCCGACCAGTTTTCCGCGCCTGAGGGCTTCGGGGACAACTCGCTTGGTGGAGCGAGAGAGACCAATTTGGAATCCTTCTCGTCAAAATTATAAACATTTGAGGGACTGATGTTGTACTTTTCGATCTTTTCGCGGAGCTAGTTGGATTCGGTCAGAAATGGCGACTTTACGGCATTTGACCGAGTATTGTCGGCAGTATACTTGAAATGACGATAAAAAGCAGTCTTACTAGATTGAAGAAGTTTTGGAAATGCCTGGAATTATCAGCAGCCTTCCGCTGATGATCTATGGTGCGCAAATACAAGCTCGAAAGACGGTCATGGTGTCGCTTGCGGAAGCGGCTCACCCAGTTGACACCAAGCTCTGTCCCTGCGATTTCCTCGGCGATATTCTTCAACATCTGAGGGGTAGGCGGGATACCACGGTCGGTCAGCTTATTGACGTGCCCAATAAGAATCTCCTCCTGCGCGCTGGTGAGTTTCTGTCGCGAGTAAGAGTTCGCGTCGTGATTTGAGGCTGTTTTGCCTTTGAAGCGGCGCCACAGCGTGGATTTGTCGATATTGTATCTCCTCGCGGTCTCTGCATATTTAGGGCGATCTTGGGATTGCAGTTCTATAATTGCCTCTGCAATACGAGGGTTGTGATCCATATCGCGTCAATTTGAAGAAGACGCGTCAGGTGTTGAAAATTGTTGCATGACCTAGTGCGTTGCATGACGCAGTGGGGTACGTTAGTTGAATCTTTCCTTTTCTTTTATAGGTAGAACTAGAGTGTTACAGTGTAGTTTGCATAGCGACCCACGAGATGAGTACGTGCAATTCGCGCATGCACCTGACCCTAGCATTTCCAGAGTGTAACAGCCTTGAAACACCCCATTCCCTTTTATACACTGGACACAGGGAGCTTTCGGCTGATCACCGAATATAAATATCAAGGCGGCATCGAGATGTTGGCTTCGTGTAACTTAAGTCGATGCGAATGTGATATACCTTGCCTCGCCTTCGTATTGAGACATATAAAGCGTTTAGGGGCTGTAGATGCTAGCAATCTCTCGACCTTGGACGAACGGACTTGATACACCTTAGACAACGCCCATGATGTAAGTTCAATGCTAGTTATTGGTTGTTGTGCAGTAGGAGGAATTGATGGGAGGAGAATACTGTCAATCGTGATAGCTTGCATTTTTAATATTCGTCCACGCAAAATAAAGTAGGGGGAAGAAAGAAACGTGACTGTAAAGATCTGCTATAACTTCGTCGTATATGCAATTAACCCTGCTTCTGCTAAGCCGAATATTTAAAATGGGCCATAACCTCTATGGTCACAGTAGGGTATACGTAATGACAAATTTTCTTCCCAAATGCGTTTTGAGACAGTCTGGCCTACAGTCGCCCGTAGGTCCCTTCCCCCGTCAGCGGGTTCCGGGCACGGCGGTAAAGCCGTAATATTAGTCAGTCTTCGGTCAGAGCCGGGTGACTGAGAAAGCCCACCTTAGCTTGGCTGGTGAAGGTGAACCGGAATCCAGAAAAGTGGGGCGTGGCACGAGTAACGACGACTGCCTGTCGCACAAGGCAAACCGTCAATCATCCCCTTTGCTTTTGCTTGCTAGCCCAAAAGGGCCCATCTTTTCCGCCTCGTTCGCTCGCTCAGGCAACAGGCCGACGTCAGACGAAGCCCAAGCGCCCGTTTCCCTACGAGCTTCGCCGTTGCCTCACCATCTCAACGAACCTCGTTGGCCTTAGCCAAACAGTCGGAATAGACAGGATCGAGGACGAATGCGCGCGCCCTGGCCGCCTGTCGCCGGGCTGAAGCTCGATCGCGGCTGATGGCAGAACCTGTATCATGATGCGCTGGCCGACGAGTTGGTCGTCCAGGAAGTCATTCTCGACTCCTCCAGGGCGAACACTTCGATGGGGCCGAACAGGAGCGCCAGGAGGCGAGGCGCGAGATTGCCAGGTTGAGGGCCCTTCTCAGTCAGCCGCCGGGACCTGCTCAAACCCCCAACAGGGACTCGAGCTGCGATGGAGGTCAGTATCCTCCCTCGCTCTCCTCTGTTCAGCCTCCGGAATTCGGCGCTGACTCGGTGAGGATAGACGGCCGTGACGATGCCCAAGCCCAGAGCCGCCATTCTCTGCCCACCTCGACAACCCCAACAGGTAAGCTCTGCTTTTCCCTCGCCCAACCTCGCCTGTCTGTGCTTCCTGTCCATCGCCACTTCGTTTCCCTTTCGCTGCATTCTGTTCTTTACTCCTCCTCTTTCCCTTTCTGAACTCCAACCGCATCCTCTACCCAGTGGAATCATCCTAGTTGCTATTCAGCATCTAAGCTCTGACGACCACCTGCTTAGTTTGTGTGCATCTTTCAACCTTTGCCGCCATATTGGCGCCTGCCAGGTCAAAGAACACCTCACTCGTCATTGTGGCGCATTTCCCTTTAGCAAAGCTTTGCCGCACTCAAACACCGCACACCCATTCCTTGGCATGACATTTTGGGCTCCTTGATTTCCTCTCGATTCCGCGCTTGCGCCTTGTTTCATCCCGCCTTGCTGACAGCTGCCCCTCCAGCGCGACTATCCGCCAGCGTGGAACCAGCCAGTTCGCGCCGTAGCTCGGCGGCATTTTCGACTCCTCGCACGCTCAGGATGGACAATGACATCTGGAGAAGCCCAGGTGCCCGCTCTCTGCCGAGTCGCAAGCGTGAGTGTGAATCGCCGCTCCTGGGCATCGCTAGAGGAACGGCCAAGGCTCGACGCATCACCCCGACGCCTCAAAGTAATGGATTCGCCACACCGCAAGACAGCGCCAGCAGTGTCATAGACATTATCGACCTTACTGGGCACGCCAGCTCCATCCCCCCTCGTAAGCAATGTCAAGCACTAACCAGTGGCCAGGGATGACGTCGATTACGATGCGACATGCATCGCTCAACATATCAAAGAAGAGAAGAGACACGAGCAGGAGATGAGAGACAGGAGTCTGGCTCAGCAGCTTTCGAGCCAAGGAGATCCTGCTCCAGTCGTCCCGTCTACTCCGGCTCCAGGTTCGGGCCACTCAGACGCCTTTTCAAAGATAATGGCTTCGCAAATGCCCAACTCGCACGGGCAATTCGTTAAGCGCGAAGACCCAGCTTCGCCCGCCACAGACACTACCCATGCCTGGCGCATATGATGCCCGCTGGGATGAGCCTTACGGGCCCAATTCGTACAACTCTATGCCATCGACGGCTTTTGGTGCCCGGGTCAGAGCCCTTTTACGACGACTCCACAGGCATTTCCTCACAAGCCACTGCCGTCCAGTACAAGCTTCAGCCCAGGTGCTCTGAATCAGTCACCTGGTGTCAACGGGCTTCCTTTTTCGTACGGGAGCCCCTTTGCGCATCCCTATCAAGCAGGACGGCCGGGAGCAGTCGGTTTCGCACCGGCTTCGAGCATGTATGGCCCCCCCAGGACTCCAGCCTTGCCGAGCTCCGGCAGCGTGAGCCTGCTTGATGCCATTGACAAACCCAGCATGCTCGACTATGCCAACCAGCTCGACGCTGAAGGAAACTTTGCCGACAGGTTATCCAGCTTTCTTGACCACGCGTACCATGATCCCAATGTGAGCGAAAGGAGTTGGACGAGCTGCTGCAAAACATTCGCCCGGACATGGACATCCCGGATAAGCATCGGGACGGGACGCCGGCAGGACTTAAGCAGTCACTCTACCACCACCAGGAACTCGCCTTGTCTTGGATGAAGAAAATGGAGGAGGGTACCAACAAAGGCGGCATCTTGGCCGACGACATGGGTCTCGGCAAGACGATATCCACCCTGGCTCTCATGTTGGCAAGACCTGCCGTAGGGCGACCCAAGGTAAGTCGGGGATGTCTGGGGGGCACCGTGAACGAGCTTGGTTCCGCTGACACCAAGTAGACGAACTTGATTATCGGGCCGCTCTCGCTAGTACGCCAGTGGGAGGAAGAGATTTCGAAGAAGACTAAGCTCTCGCATCGCATGTCCGTCTTCGTATATCACAACACCAAGGCGATGACGGATGACTTGCTCAGATACGACGTTGTCCTAACGACGTACGGCACAATCGCTCAAGAACTAAAGCGGCTGGAGAAGTTCATGGAGGACAACGCCGATCGGAACATTGACTTAAACGACAGGGCCAACGCTCTCAAATTTCCTTGCTGCACCCGACCAAAGCTGTCTTTCATAGAGTCGTGCTCGACGAGGCACAGTGCATTAAGAACAGGAAGACCAAGACGGCGAAAGCCTGCCACGCGCTCAAATCCACATATCGGTGGTGCCTCACTGGTACCCCGATGATGAATGGGGTCCTCGAACTCTTCTCTCTTGTTCAGTTCCTCCACATCAAGCCTTACTGCGTGTGGGAGAATTTTCGACAGGTTAGTCCAGGACGACTTGGTTTGTGCTTGATTGAATAACATACTGACGGCCCGCAGGCGTTTGGCATCCTTTGCGGTCTCAAGGGCGATGCAAAGAGCGTCGCCATGAGCAGGCTTCGAGCTCTTCAAGGCTATCATGCTGCGAAGAAAGAAGGACTCGCAGCTGAATGGGAAACCCATTCTCAATCTTCCTTCGAAAGACGAAAGCATAGTGTATGCTAAGCTTTCTCCCGACGAGAGGGGATTCTACAAGCAGCTTGAGCAGAAGTCCCAGGTTCTATTCAGCAAGTACCTACGCGAAGGCTCTATCGGCAAGAATTATTCCAACATTCTCGTTCTCCTCCTCCGCATGCGGCAGGCTTGCTGTCATCCGCACCTCAACCTGGACGTGGACGATGCCACCCAGTTTGGCAAAGAGAAAGTGGACGAGAAAATGGTGCAACCGATCAAGAGGCTCAGCAAGGCCACTGTGGAAAGGATCAAGGCGATTGAGGCTTTTGAATGCCCGATATGTTTCGACGCTGTCCAGTCTCCATCGTTCTTTATCCCATGTGGCCACGACGGCTGCAAGGATTGTGTCACGCGCTTAGTCGACAACCTGCGGCCGCCAACCTGCAAGCTGGAGATGAAAGCGACAAGGCTAAGTGCTGTGTGTCGTGGCACTTTTGACGGCAAGAAGTGCTTCACGTACGAAGCGTTTCGGAGCGTTCACATGCCCGAAACTATGGTCAAGCAATCAGAGCCTGGCGTCGAGGACTCATCCAGCGACGACGATTCCAAGTCGGAGTCTGAGGTTGACACGGAGGAGGTTAACGCCAGGGAACTTGCGAGGTTTCGTCGTGGAGGATGACGACTCGGACCACGTGGACCACGCCAAGTCGCAAGCCAACAAGGCTGACAAGACTCCCAAGAAGAACAAAAAGGGCAAGAAAAAGCCGGCCGACGTCAAGCCATCCATGCTGAAGAGCTTGCGGCTAGAGGCAATCAAGAATCGGGAGGCGTACAAGCGATATATGCGCTACCTGCGAAAGACGTGGATGCCAGCGGCCAAAGTCACCGAGTGCATGAACCTTCTCAAGAAGATTCAAGAAACGGAGAGAAGACCATTGTCTTTTCTCAGTGGACCCTACTTCTGGATTTACTACAGGTGGCCATGTGGCATGACAAGTTCAAGGACAAGCCGGAGCGGTACGATGGCAGCATGTCGGGCGAGGATCGTGCCCGGGCTGCCAGAGACTTCCGGGACAGGGACAACGTCAAGGTCATGCTGGTGTCTCTCCGAGCCGGGAATGCGGGCTTGAACCTCGCGTCTGCCAACAATGTCATCATCATGGACCCTTTTTGGAATCCATACATCGAGATGCAGGCTGTGGACCGTGCGTACCGTATCGGCCAGAAACTGGAGGTGAAAGTCTACCGCATCCTCACCGAGGAGACGGTCGAGGACCGCATCATCGCGCTGCAAGAGCGCAAAAAGGCGATTGTTGAGGCGGCACTGGACGAGACCGAGAGCATGAAGATTGGTCGCCTGAATGTCAACGAACTCAAGTTCCTTTTCAACACGAGGGACTAGCGTGGAAACGCACGGCGCCTTGCCCCAGTTGCTGCGAAGGTCTCTTCTCCTTGCTCTGTCTTTGCTACCGGGCTTGGGGATCATGCATATGTCCCACGACGAGGGCACGAGAAAGCGGCGGAGGGCGAATTTTCCCTAGTATACATGGCATATGGCAGGGAGCCGAGTGGACGTCCATGGGTCTGATGAGAATGTGGCTTTAGACGAACGTATGTACGCGTCGCGAGCAGCACAACGAAGAGAGGCTTGGGTTTCTAGAGACTAGACGTCTATAGAGCTAGATGTGCACAGCATCAATCCATCGCCGCATGCATGTCCTTTCGATATCCGCGTGACTAGCTTGCCTAGTTGGGGATGGGGAGGTGTCGTGACTGGCACGTCGGTATCTCGAGTGCGGAGACAAGTCGCACATATGGGTCAAGATACGATCAAGCCGGCGCGAATGATTGTTATGTACATGGTCAAGTGCATGGGTATATATATACATGTACATCCCTAAGCCTCGCGGGCAGATTCTGCTTCCCTACCAAGACGACTCACCCGTCACGGGGCATGGCGGCCGTGCTTGCGAAAGTCGAGCACTACTTGTACATGTGGCAGCCTCTTTGCTGCGACGGACCGCAAGATCAGAGACCTTTGCTACAACGAGCACTGCGAAATTCGAAATCAGCTGGCCGACATCAGCTCTCGTCTCGGCGCCTTAGAAGCTCAACTTGCCAATACCAAACCCGTCTGTCAGAGTGCCACAGCACCAAGGATCGCAAACGGCATGCCAAACAGGACCCGCAGCAGCAGCGAGACCAGCCACCTCATGGGCCCGCAGAGCAGGCGCTGGATGACGAACCACGCGCGCGTCGCCGAAGCGGGGGAAGGCATCGGAAAACCTGCCCAGAGGGGGCGAGCGGAGCCGCGAAAACAGTAAACAAAGTCAAGCTCTCACGGGTCTGGCTTGGAAATAACCAAGGGAGTGACCGTCATGAGTACATGTTGAAAGGCCCAAGAGAGCATGGTGGAGGGGTCGGAGGGCTCTGGAGGTCTGAAACAATCGGGGCCGATACCACGCTGGAAGGAGTACATTTTGCGCTGATGACGGACGTTCTTTTTCTTGAAGTCGAGATTAACGGCGGCAGCCACTTTCCCATAACGCTGCAATGGAATGACGAGACCGAAGCCTTCGAAGGGCAGGATATGCTGAGGGAAATGAATCTCCTTATCGGTTACGATGAGATCTTTAAGATGCTCTGCCACCCCTATCAGGCGTGTAGGGACTGGCGGTTTTGTCAAGTATGAGTACTCACGAAGAGAGCATGCAAGTGGGCATTGATTGTTTTATATTAACGGAGGTAGCCGTAGGCAGAGAAAGTGGACAGCGACGTAAATTACCGTCGCTCGAATTCAGTGCCCTCAGAGCGATACCAAGTGCTCCGTCGACCGTTCAGTACCGGATTTAGTCGCTACGGACAGTTGCATCTCCACCTCTCCATCTACCCGTTTCCTCTGGTGCTCTCTTATCATACTGTCCAGGGGTACTGCTGGCATAAATAAAATCGCCAGGCAAAGTCCACACTGACCTCCAAACTGGTGCCTCACCCAACCAGTCATAGAACATACTAGGAGCACAGATGATGCTAGGAATACCATTCCGCTTACTGCTCCAGGCCACGGTACCCTGGTTTGACGTCGGTTGCTCTGGCTGAGGCTGGTTAGAGCGCCGGTCAACACGACGAAAACGTTGTGTCTTCTTCCATATCGCAATAACCATAATAACGGTAGTCAAGTGAGACACCATTGGAGCAGCCCACCAGTATTCGACGCCAGAGAGCCCGATTTGCCAAACGGTCGCCCCAATAAAGGGAAGGTGAAAGACTAATGCTAGTCCAAAATAATGATTCTCGCCTTAATGCAGGGGCCAGGCTCGACGGTGCGAGAAAAATAGGCATAAATCAAGGATCGACAACTTGAATAAGCTATAAATCATGAGTATATCGGGATAACTAGACGGCCTGAATGGGGAGTACCTCGATGATGTCGACGCATAACATGGTGACCCCTTTCCAGGCTGTGAAGAAGGGATAGGCAAGGACGCCAGGGAGGAGTGCATTTCTCGCACTGCCAAACAAAGCGGCGAATATTAATCCTATACCCACGAAGAGACATGCTATGGGAATCAACACCCGAGTTCGCCTACGCGAAGCTTCTCTTTGCTTGACCCTGATCATCCAGTATAGGTAAGGCGCCAGAAAGACCGTTGTCACGGCAAACACGACACCGGCCTCGGTGACCTCCCTGGTGGTGATCTCGTCCCGCATGTCGAAATACGGCAACCTTGAAGGGTGGAGAGAGCGGAATTCTGACTTGGAGTAATGAGAATATGAGCACCGGGCTTACCCGGAACAAGAAGTGCTTTATATAGACGTTTAAGTCATAACAGCGAATATTGGTATATAGCAAGTAACGCTCAGATGAAGAGGGCTACAGTACATTGTCCAGTCGCCTTACAACGGGAAGACATACCTAGAGTAAGGTGGTGATGGGGTGCTTTGTGCATAGTACGGTTACACCATCATTGTCTTGAGACTGGGCTATACCGTAGTTGATATGATGATTTACATACATGAGGCGGGTGAGCTTCCTCCATGTCGAAACGGCCTGGTCAGAGTAGGGTTGGCGGAACGGCATGTCTTCAACCAGTCAATGCGTTTGGCCCCCGGTTACGAGGCCATCCAGTAGATCGGCATCACCAGCCGTGTATTCATCCTGGTTCATGCACTTTGGCTTGCATGCGTCTAAGTTCACCTTGATTAGGAGGTCGGAACGCCATGGGCCTGTGCAGAGGCAACTTGCCTGGGTCTGCAGTCAAAATGAACATGGACGTGACAACACCATGAGCTCCCTGGACCAAGGAAGTGAGGTCAAAACATGAGCAGAAGGCGTCATTGATCCATTCCACATTGGGGTTGTGACATAACAGCGCAGATCTAGGAAAGCGTGACTCTCAGCTGTGACAACTCCGCAGGATGGGCTTCGTACTGGCTCGGGAACCTGTCTCTCACCTGGTCGTCCTGGATCTCGGCCTCGTTGGGGCTGTTGGTCGTGAACATTAAGGAAAGGCAGGACTGTCACGGAGGAGGGGAACACAGGATAGATTACTGAGATCGAAGAGATATGCTGTTACTTAGGCGATTCCTCCGGTTTGTTCTGTCTCCTCAAGAATCTTCTCCATCGCTCTTTCAAAAGTGCTCTGCCCTTATCGCGGTCTAACTCATCAACCGAATACCATCCTTGACCTTCCATGAAAATAGCGCTCGCACCGCAACTCGCTAATTTGACAAATCTTCTGGACTCTTCCTGCCATATTTCGCGCATACTTTTCCATTTCGGCGCTAATGCTCTTGAAAACCGGGATGCCCACTCCCACACCGAACTTGAAAGGCCCCCAAGCCTTTCTACCCTCACTGAGCTTTCGATAGTTCCAGTAACGGAGTAGAGACGATTTATCTTTGAGGTCGTGGAAACTATCGCGGAGTGTTTGTCCTGCATACACTGACAAGTTTCAGTGATGATCTGAAAGGGTTGGACTCCAAGTCGGCACGGCTCGTCATGGCTGCACTTCTTCTGATCAACATCGTTGAGGTGACCGCAATTCATCGAGCCTTGGGTGACAATATGTGATGCCATCGTTTTATTGCAGGTAGCTGTTGCGGAAGACTTGTTATGGTAATGACCGTGTCCATGTATGCGCCATGGGATACTTTATAGGTCAGAAGTTCAGCTCTACAGCTTTTACCAATCTCCTTACGCTTACATTGAGAAGGCGAGGTATAGAAGCTGTCACGAAACTTAGTCTCATTACTACGCTTTGTCGTTGGCCGTGTCACCTGCGGCGTGCATGCCAAGTGCAGGGCCGTTACAAGGTCAATCAAGCAAGACGTACGGCTGCTGCAGAGAGCTAGGTAGTAGCTACCGCAATCACCCACACCGGATGATCATTTCGGGCTTAGGACCAGGCTTTGTTACACCCTCAAACAAGGCCGATGGGTACTGTAGCGGGACATAGAATGCCGCTATGTCCTAATTAACAGGCACTCATAAAGTACCACAGCTTTGCTGCTCAATATGGGATGCATTTGAAGATCGCTCGGCGGCGTGGCTGCAGGCTCTTCGCATCAGCCGCATGCACGCGTCAGGGTCGGCAGGCTGCCCACCACCAGTGCAGATACGATTATTTGACCAATCATCTGAGCTTCCTGCCAGTGAGCGGGCCGGCACGTCTTCCACTGTCAATGCAGTCGGCCCCCTGTCTGGCTAGGTATTCGATAGATCGTCACGGGTATGGGTATGGCAACCCCCTGGGTTGCGCAAAAAAGCTTTGAGGAACGAAGATAAAGGTCGGATAAAAAGAACGGGATAACAGAACGGCAGGGAAAGTAGGTACCTACGGGCGACTGTAGGCCAGACTGTCTCAAAACGCATTTTGGGCTGTGGGCACCCCGGGGTTAGATTACCCGATCGGGTCTAAGTGCAACTGGGTAACTTGTATATACCGATACTCTTCTATTAGCATAGGGCATTGAAAGAAATGAAAGTAAGCGTTCGCTCTGCGCATTGGTACACATTTTCAGTGCTTTTCTCCCTTCTACGATATCATTGAGCCCGAATAGCGCTTTACTCAGTTAAACAAATATGCCTCGACCACAAATTGATCTTTCCACAGTTCAGGAGGAAATCACCGGCTTGCATCGAGATGGATCCTCTATTAATACAATCCGTACGCATCTTCTCGAGCATCATCAGCTTCAAGTAAGCCGCGCCAGTCTCTATCGATCGATCAAAGACTGGGGACTTCTTCGTCAAGCACGTACGATCACTTCAGATACCTTACGGGACCGAATTAGGTCGCTATTCTTTGATGAATGTCTTAAGGATGATTTCATGCTTAAACGACTTAGAGACGAGGGGTTTACGATCTCAAAGTTCCGTCTTGAAAGAATTCGGCTTGA